TGGGCTCTGGCCTGTCCTGGCCCTAGGGGAGCGTACAGCCAGCAGGAGTGCCACCGGCAATGTCTGCCCAGCTCTTGGACCCTCCCTGTGTCCTTGGCCGAATCCGCTGGGCCCAGCTGGGTAGGGCCTGCACTGGGCTCCGGCCGGTGCTGTGGTAGTGTCTGGGAGTCCTGGCCCGCCCTTGGCTCTGAGCCTCACGGAGGGATGGTTCAGCGGGGCCCAGGCTTCTCGCCCTGGTTGCCCTGATGCTGCCTGGGGCGGCAGGCGTGGGCTAGACCCCGGCCTCTGGTGCACACTCGTGCTGGAGAAGTGGACCAGGGCCATAGTCACTTTCCGTCCAGGGTTTCTGTAGAGGGAGCTGGCCTAGCCTGCACCTAGCCTACCTGAGGGGCCTGTGCTCTGGGACGGGTCTCAGAAGTTTCTGGAATGACCAATGGCCTGGTGTGTGGGTGCCAGGTGTGCCTCCGAGTGGACGTGGTGTGTGGGTGCCAGGTGTGCTTCTGAATGGACCTGAGCAGCTTCTTTTGGCTCCTGCAGCCTTCTCTCCACACCCCCTTTGCCCTCATCCCTGCCCCCTCCCTAGGGCAGTGGGGGGTGAGCTGGTGGGCAAGGGGAAGCCCTCACAAGCTCCGGTGGGTCTTGGAGGGCAGAAGAAGGGAGAGCCACAGCCCTGGGCGGGGGCTGGCCAGGCTGCGTCCTTGCTGGGTGAGCCCCAGGACTGAGTGGGGCTGGGTGGGCGCTCTGGGGAGGGCTGACCTGTCTCTCAGCTCAGGGTGGTTCTTTGCAGTGGACCTCTGGACCCTCGAGCCCTGGATCCAGCAGGCAGGGGTGGCCTTCTGGGCTGCCATGGCTGGGAAGGTGCCACCTCCCACTGGGCTCCCACCGGTTTCCAGATGGAGCTTCTCGGGCAGGTTCCCTTGCCCCTTCCCCCAACCTTAGCAGAGGCAGGGGTGCGTGAGCATGTAGAGCTGCTCCAGATCTGTGGGTGTGTGGGGGGCTCCCACAGGACGAGGACGTGGCTGGGTGGTACTGTGTGTGCCGGGGGGGGGCACTGTGCGTGCCAGGGCTCTGCCGGAGTCTGTGCACTGGCGTTCGTGGTGAGGGCATGCGTGCAGGCATGCAGGGACAACCACTCAGGCTCCACAGTGGGGTGGGCAGAGGCGGAGGGGTGCATGGGGTGGCAGGTGGCAGGTGTAGAGCCCTGCAGGTGGACCTCGCTTCACATCTCCGGCCCTGGCCTGGCCCTGGGTGCCCACTGTGCCCCACCTTCCTTCCCTCCCAGCAGCCCCTCCCCAGTGTTGTTTTATCTTTCCACCCCACTGCCCTGCCACCGGAGCCGTGGTGGCACAGTGGTTAAGAGCTACGGCTGCTAACCAAAAGGTAGGCAGTTCAAATCCACCAGTTGCTCCTTGGAAACCCTGTGGGGCAGTGCTACTCTGTCCTACAGGGTCGCTATGAGTCGGAATTGACTGGATGGCAAGGGTGTGGGAGGGGAGCCTGGCCTGGCTGCTCTTCCGGCATCTCTCACCTGGACCACCTGCAGCCTCCTCCCTGCCCCGGGGCTTCCGAGGTCATATGGGAAGGGGGCTTGCCCCCCACGCCGCCCAGCAGGCTCACCAGTCCGGTCCTCATCTCTGCTCACAGCCTCCTTAGGAGTGGGCGGGGGGGGCAGAGTTTTTGGGTCCAGGAGTCCACGAGGGAATCCGCCCAGTACCAGGCCAGGTCTCGGCCCCTGGGCTCACAGGTGGGGGGCGTGGTGAGCTGTGACAGCAGGCAGCCTGGTATGGGCCTCAGGATGCTTCCCTGAGGGGAGGACACTGAGGCTTGCTGGGAGGCCTCAGACCTGGTAGAAAGTTCCAGTGCTGGGATAGGCAGTGGGGGAGTGTGTGTGTGGGAGGGGTCTGGGCCCCGGGTCCTGACTGTCTTTGGTTACTTGCAGCTGCTGCAGATGCTGGAGTTTGAGAACATGCGCTTAGAGGCCGCTCTCGAGTGGCGGCGCCTGGAGCAGGTCTTCTGGCAATGGATGGTAACCCAGCACTTCCGCGCCTGGACCACAGCAGGGGAGGGGTGGGTCTCCCCATTTCCCAGAAAGGAACAGATGAGAACAGCTGCTGTTTCTCTGGAGCCATGGCAGCTGGTGTCCTGATGCACTGGGCTGGAATTGGGGGACAGGAAGGTGATGCAAGCCCCTCGGTGCCCCACGCCATCCCTCCGGCAGCCTCATTTCATTCACACCTTTCTGACCGTGTGGGCAGCGGGGACTCTGCAGGTGCATGCTCTCACACCCCTAGCCCAGACACCCCCAGGCCACACGTGCATAGAGAGCGGGCTCCGACATCTGGGCTCTGATATCCGGGCTCGAGGGCAGGTCCTCCCTTCACTGTTCGTGCGTACTTGGTGCTGATGACCCTAGCTTGTACAGCCTGCACAGACCACCACCCTGCCCCTCCTGTCTGCCCTGTCCGAACGGCAAAGCTTCTGCCTCAGGTGACTCGTGTGAGGATGAGGGGCAAGGGGGCTCTTCCTGCTTGGGGCTGGGGAGCTGGGTCAGAGGTTCTGGGAGGAGGCTTCCCACGGTAGCCGGGGTGTCCATTCTGGGTCCTAAACGGGATACTCCCCGCCAGGAGCCAGCTACCTCAGGACCCGTTGGGCGTCCCTGGCTCCTCCTAGGGATGATGCCAAGACGTCCCTCCAGGGTGCCCTTGTCACCTGTGGCTGGCAGCCACTTGCTTGGCCTGAATTTTGCCTCTGTTTTGGGGGCTCTGAAGGTCCTGTGCAGCTGGGCTGGGATGACTGTGGGTGAGGGTGCAGGTGGCTCTAGGACTGGCGAGGATACGGAGCTAGACCGTGCGTCTTCTGTGGTGGGCTGGGGATCGAGACCCACGTATGGTCACCCCAGGCTGCCTGGCTCCTTGGGAGCCCCGCCTCTGGCCAAGACTTCTCTGGGTTGGAGACTGTGACCTTCTGGAGGTCTGGCCTTTGGGTCTCCATGGATGCTGCACCTGCTGGCTGACCGTAGCTGTCCAGCTGGGTGGGCCTGGGGTTGGGGGCGTCATCCCTTCTAGGCCCTGTGTCCTTGACCCTGCTGGCTATGAAGCTGGGCGTGGCTTTGGAGGCCTGTTGTCCCCGTCTCACTTGGGTCTCTCTGCAGGACACGGTCCTGGGTGCCTGCCCCCCGGACTTCCCCCACGCTGGCTCACAGTCCACGTTTCTGCCCAGCATCCCTGACCCAGGGGCTGGGGAGCTGGACCTGGTAGCTCGGGAGCTGCAGGCCCTGCAGGTGGAGCTGCGGGAGGCCGTGGAGGTGCGGCGGGCAGCGTGGGAGGCCCAGGTGAGTTCTGGGGCCCTCCTGTTCCCTCGCCCACTCCGTCAGCAGCACTCCTCGCTGTTCGGCTCTCCCCAGAAGGTATCTTTTGGGGGCAGGGCGGGCATACTAGGGTGCATTGGACAGAGCCGCTTGTTAGAGCTACACCATTCAGTCTGATTAAGCTTGTGAGGTGATATGTTTACATGGCCCCAAATTCACCATAGCTGAAGTCACTGCATGTCCCATCCCCAGCTGCCCAAGGCCTCCAGGGGGCCCCCTGCTAAAGGTCTTGCTCCTCTTGTCGGAGTACAGAAGTCAGCCGGCCCGTGGTGGCCCCGCCCTGGCCCACCTGTACCTGAGCCCGCCCATGCCCTTCATTCCTTCAAGTTGGATGGAGCGCTTAGACCTGGGTGGACCGATTAGATGTTGGCCCTCCTTCCTTGGTGCAGAGTGCTTCCTGCCCCCCAGCTGCGCGCTGCCCGGTAATGTTGCACCGCGACCTGTTTAACCTGGCTAGGGTCTTGGAGTTCTCTCCAGAAGGGAAGCCAGTGCCTAGGTAAGGGAGCAGATTCCAGGGGTCCCCGTCAGCCTGCACGGGAGAAGGAGCGCCCCCACACCACCTGGATTTTATGCCCGTTAATGTTGTGACACATTTGCTGCTTCAATTTTTTTTTTTCTGAAGCATTTTTTTAAAAAATGCAGGTATGATTTTCTCCCTTAAGTCTTCATTAGCCTCTCTAAAGAGCAGACCATTCCCCTCCTTGCTCGCCATGCCTCACCCCAACCAGCCCAGCCAGCTGACGGTAGCTGCTGTGCACTGCCCAGGGGTCACTGTGCTCGTGTCCCCGTGCACCTCCTTGTTCAGGCCACACACAGCTGTGCCTCTTGGCCCCCTCCCCAAGGGGACGTGGGGAAGCGACCTTGAAGTGCTGTGGTGGCAGCGCCTCTTGGTCTATGATGTTTTCTTTTTGGGAGGCTGCCAGGCAGGGTGGTTTTAGGCAGAGCCCTGTGGGGTTCTGGGCAGTGCCTTCAGGACTGGGCCTCCAGGCTTGGTGCGTGGAGTGGGCCAGTGGCTGCAGGGTGCGGGGTGTGGACTGCAGTGGTCGCCAGCCTCTTCAAAGCTTCTTTGCGGGGATGAGGTCTGGGCCAGCTGTCCACAGGGATAGGAACTACTTTGAGGGCCCTCTTTGTGAGGGTCTCTTCGGGCCTGTCCTCAGCCCCAGCCCCGTGGGGCCTCTCCTCCCTGCTGGATGGCAGGGAGCTGATCAGGCTGGGTGTGGTGGGTGGTGTCCTGGGCGCGGGGGCTGGATGGGAGCCTGGAGTGGTGGGTGGGGCTGGGGGCTGGGTATCCCCAAGGTCTTGGCTGAGCTCAGAATGGTGCTGGGTGAGGAGGGTGCAGGGCTGGGCCTTTCTGAGCTGGCCTCGGGGTGAGGTCTGGCCCATCAGCCCTGTATCGGGAGTACCAAGGGGTTACTGGGTGAGGATCCTGGTGGGATGGCCTGCCCTCTGCCTTATGAGCCACACACCCCTCCACAGGTCCGGGGCCTGAGGCCTGAGCGCAGTGCCGAGATGCGGGCCTTGAAGGAGGCTGTGGGGCGGGAGCTGGCGACCCTGCAGCAGGCCTGGGAGCGAGAAGGGGGCCCGGTCCGGCCCCACAGGCCCCACCGACTGGTGAGGAGTGAGGCCGGGGCTCTGCCAGGCCAGGGTCTGTGGGCCGCTGAGGCCATTGGGGCACTGAGGAACAAGGAGGCCTGCCTGGAGGCGGTGCTGTGCTGGCTGCAGGGACAGTGTCAGCAGGAGCTGGCCAGGTTGGCAGGAGCCCTGCCGGGAGTCATCTGGATCCCACCACATGGACGCTGAGGACTTCGGCTGCATCGTCCCCAGTGGGAACCTGGCTGGCTAATCCTGCCCTGGTGACAACAGGGATAACTCATGCAGAGCCTCACTCTGGGCTGGGGCTGTCCTGACTTTGGCCAGATTCCAGCCCCTTGGCCAGCAGTCCCTACCTGCTGTCCCCTCCCCAGGGGTCACAAGAGGCCCCGTCTGATGGCTGTGGGCGTCAGGGCCTGGAGTGGGCTCAGAAGTCACTCATGGAGGCCTCCCTGGGGGCTGAGGCCCCGGCCATCCCTCTAGGGCCCTCTCTTATCTCTGGGAATGGGAATAGGGAGGGGTGAGTCTCGGGCTGTGGGGAGAGACACCTGGGCATTTGGGGCTGAGGCCAGTGACAGAGGGACTAGCCTGGTCTGAAGCTCTGAAGCCCGGGGTGGTGTCAGGGAGCAGCCCTGCCAGGAGGGCTCGGGGGGTACTGTGGGAGGATCTGCGGGAGCCCAGGCCTCTCCGACCCGACGTGTCAGTGCCCTGCCCTGGACGTCCGCCCCAAGCTGTGAGATGTGCCTGGTGTGTGTGTGTGTGTGTCTGTGTGTGTGTGCTGGGAGGGTGCTGGATGGGTGCCCTGGGGGGCTCTGCTCGCTTCCTGGGGGCGGTGCTCTAGGGTGGAGGGAAGCCCACCCTGGGGACAGAGGGGCTTTGTCTTGGAGGCTGCTTGGCAATCCCAGCAATGCCCAGACAAAGAGCCATCTGTGTCCCAGGATGTGTTCCCCACCTGCCGGAATGGCCCTCTCCTCACAGCGCCCCCGCCCCCACCAGCAGGGGCAGGCAGCCTGGCCACCTCCAGCCTGCCCCCTGCACCAAACCTTCCTCTCCCCACGGCTGTTGCACCTCTGGCCTCAGGCAGCCTGTCTCTGAGGGTGTGGTATGGAGCCATTCGCCTCTGCCCCATGGGTTTCACGAAGACGGGAGCGGGTGAGGGCGGCAGGCTGAAGGCCTTTGCGAGTATCAGACGTTACGTTTCCAAAAACTAAGCATAAAATGCAATACCACACTCGTGTTCCTGTGTTTTTGTTTTGTCTGCTTCCAGCCTCTGTGATCCTTTTGGCTCCTGACTGTCACCCACTGGGCCAGCTCCCCCCCCCCCTCAGCTCAGGGTCTTGTCCCTTGTCATTGGTGGACCTTGGGCTGTTGATCTGAAGCCCACCCCTCCAGCCAGTACCCGTGGGATGCCTTGGGGAGCGTTTCCAATGTCCTCTTGAAATCTCACTTTGGTTGGAGGAGAGTATTTCAAAGTGACATTTAGGAGAGGAATTTGGTTGGTTGGACATCGTTCTGATTTAACTCACACGGGAGCCTTGACGATACTGCTGTCTTTTCCAACAGCCCCCAAGCTTCTCTCCAGCTCTGGGTCCTGGGTGCAGTTATGGGGACAGTGGTCAGGAAGTTGCACCTACTGGCCCTGCATGTAACATCAGCCTCCTGTGTCCCCCTCCGGGCCATTTGTGACTGGTTTTGCTGCAGAGACTCTGCCGGGGAGCTGTCTGCCCTCGGCCACTTTGATGGTAGATGCACCAGAGCTTGCTTTTAGCTCCTGTGTGCATGACACCTTTTTTCATTCTCTGATTTTCAACCTTTCTATATACTTAAATGTTTTGGTTTTCTTTTTACATACGGAAATTAAAAATAAATTATTGAGTTGAAATTCACATAACACAAAATAACCCACTTTAAGGTGAAAAATTCAGCAGCATTTAGTACGTCGACAGTGCTGTGCAAACGTCATCTCTAGTTCCAAGGCATTTCCAACACTCAAGCCCCTTACCCATTAAGCGGTTTCTCCCCATCCCCCTTCCCCGCAGAGCTTAGCGACCATCGGTCTGTGTTCCGTCTCTGTGGCTTTACCTATTACGGATATGGAAGTGGAATCACACAACATGTGACTTGGTGTCTAGTCGGTTTCACTTAGCATGATGCTTTGAAGGCTCATCCAGGTTGTGGCATGTATCAGTACTTCATACCTTTTAAAATTTATTTTTACTTACTCATTTTATTGTGGCAAATACAGAGGTGACAAAACTTGCCATTTAAACAATCTTCACATACACAGTTCAGTGACATTATGTTCATCATATTGTTCAACTATCCCCATCGCCCTTAAGAGAAACTCCGTGTGCCTTGAGCGCTGAGTCTTCCTCTCCCACCCCCCCTGTTATTTTTAGGTGCCTTCAAGTCAGTTTCAACTCAAAGTGATCTTACGAACAACAGAATGAAACACGGTGCGGACCTGCACCATCCTCACAGATCGTCGCTATGTTTGAGCCTATTGTTGCAGCCACTGTGTCAATCCATCTTGTTTAGGGTCTTCCTCTTTTTCTCGACTCCTTATTTTACCAAGCATTATGTCCTCCAGGGATTGGTCCCTCAGCATGTCTAAAGTATGTGAAACAAAGTCTCACTGTCCTCACTTCCAAGGAGCACTCTGGCCGTACTCCTTCCAAGACAGACTTGTTACTTCTGGCAGTTCATGGTATAGTCAACCTTCTTTGACAGTACCGGAATTCAAAGGCATCAATTCTTCGGTCTTCCTTATTCATTGTCCAGCTGTCCCATGCATATGAGGCGATTGAAAATACGGCTTGGTCAGGGGCACTTTAGTCCTCAAAGTGACATCTTTTCAACATTTCAAGGAGGCATTTTGCGGCAGATTTGCCCAATACAATACGTCGTTTGATTTCTTGACTACTACTTTCGTTGTCATTAATCAGGGATCCAAGTAAAATGAAATCCTCCATAACGTCAATCTTTTCTCCGTTTGTCATAACATTGCTTATTGGTCCAGTTGTGAGGATTTTTGTTTTCTTTATGTTGAGGTATAATCTATACTGAAGGCTGTGGTCTTTGATCTTCATCAGTAAGTGCTTCAAGTCCTCTTCACTTTCAGCAAGCAAGGTTGTGTCATCTGCATGTCGCAGATTGTTAACGAGTCTTCCACCAATTCTGATGCCACATTCTTCATATACTCCAGCTTCTCAGATTATTTGCTCAGCATACACACCTTTCTTGACTGTAAACCATGCAGTATCCCCTCGTTCTGTTCGAACAACTGCCTCTTGGTCTATGTACAGGTTCCTCACGAGCACGAATAAGTGTTCTGAAATTCCCATTCTTCCCAATGTTATCCACAATTTGTTACGATCCACACAGTCGAGTGCCTTTGCATAGTCACTAAAACACAGGTAAACATCTTTCTGGTATTCTCTGCTTTCAGCCAAGATCCATCTGACATCAGCAATGATATCCACATCCTCTTCTGAACCTGGCTTGAACTTCTGGCAATTTCCTGTCGATGTACTGCTGCAACTGCTTTTGAATGATCTTCAGCAAAGTTTTACTTGTGTATGATATTGTTCGATAACTGCCACATTCTGTTGGATCACTGTGACCCTAATACTCCCCAGCACGTTTTCTCCTTTTCAGAATGAGTGACTGAGGGCTTGCCATAACTAACGCCAGGATGAATCTGTAAGTTTCTTTTTTTTCTTTTCTTTCTCCCTTTCCCATATCTTTGTTAATGACTTTGTTTTATGACTTAAGCTCCCCCACGGGAAGATTAGAGCCCAGATGTCAGAGATGTGTATCTTTAGCCTGATCAGGAAACGTCTGGTTCCTTATCTCTTTAGTATGATAAGGAGTCTCTTGTAATTATGTTAAAAGGAATAACAACACTTCTAACCTTTGTAAAAATCATATATAAGCTCTAATGTAAAAATGCCTTTTGGGACTCCCTAAGGACAGCCTGCATTGCTCTTGGGTCACCGGTGGTGTACAATTTCTGAATTAAAACTTTCTCACTTTTTCTGACTTGGAGTATGTTTCATTGGCTTGACTGCTCCAGGGCACGGACCCTATTCGGGTAACAATCGCCTTTCTTTGGAATGGGTATAAATATGGATCTCTTCCAGTCAGTTGGCCAGGTAGCTGTCTTCCAAATTTCTTGGCATAGACGAGTGAGCACTTCCAGTGCTGCGTACGTTTATTGAAACATCTCAGTGAGTACTCTGTCAATTCCTGGAGCCTTGTTTTTCATCAAAGCCTTCAATGCAGCTTGGACTTTTTCCTTCAGTACCATCGGTTCCTGATCATATGCTACCTCCTAAAATGGTTGAATGTTGACCAATTCTTTTTGGTACCGTACCTCTCTATATTCCTTGCAGCTTCTTCTGATGCGTCCTGCATCATTCAATATTTTTCCCGTAGAATCCTTCAAAACTGCAAGTCGAGGCTTGAATTTTTTCTTCAGTTCCTTCAGCTTGAGAAATGCCAAGCGTGTTCTTCCCTTTTGGTTTTCTAACTCCAGGTCTTTGCACATGTCATTATAATGCTTTTCTCTGTCTTCTTGAGCCACCCTTTGAAATCTTCTGTTCAGCTCTTTACTTCATCATTTATTCTGTTTGCTTTAGCTACTCTACGTTCAAGAACAAGCTTCAGAGTCTCTTCTGACATCCATTTAGGTCTTTTCGTTCTTTCCCGTCTTTTTAATGAACTTTTGCTTTCTTCATGTATGATGTTGTTGATGTCATTCCGCAACTCTGGTCTTCAGTCATTAGTGTTCAGTGCATCAAATCTATTCTTGAGATGGTCTCTAAATTCAGGTGGGATATATTCAAGGTCGTACCTTGGCTCTCGTGGACTTGTTCTAATTTTCTTTAACTTCAACTTGAACTTGCATGTGAGCAATTGATGGTGTGTTCCACAGTTGGCCCCTGGCCTTGTCCTGACTTTTGATACTGAGCTTCTATTTGATTCCTGTGTTTTCCATTCGGTGAGGTCCATGTGTATAGTCACTGTTTATGTTGTTGAAAAAAGGTATTTGCAATGAGTAAGTCGTTGATCTTGCAAAATTCTATCATGCATTCTCTGGCGTTTCTATCATCAAGGTCATGATTTCCAAGAACAGATCCTTCTTGTTGGAAACTTTTGCATTCCAATCACCAGTAATTATCAATGCATCTCAATTGTTTGTTTGATCAATTTCCGACTGCAGAAGTTGGTAAAAATCTTCAGTTTACTCATCTTTGATATTAGTAGTTGA